GCGACTTTTTTTTTCTGCGCTAAATAACCCGAGGTACCTTCCCCTAGTAGCGCAGTGTATTTGCCAAACATCAGTCAAACATTGGCCCAGTACTTGTGTTGGGTCAATGTTTAGCCAATGCACTGTGCTACTAGGGTTCTCTCGCCACTTGCAGCCTGGAAAACGCAAGAGCGAGTCGTCCGCGATTCTGGCTTCCCCCCTCGATTCCTCCCCTTTTGAAAGGCGAGGCGAACGCGCTTCGGATCGCCCTCCCCACGTTCGCCTGCCCCTCCCCCCCCCCCACCCCCCCTCCGCCGCTGTCCTGTTTTTCCCTGCTAACTGAAGATGCTCGTTGCAGCAAAGCGAAAACATGGGAGCGAGACCGAAGAAAACGTATGAACGCGTACTTCAAGGCACTGGCGGACCTTCTGCCGCCGCATCAGGAAGGTCGCAAGCGCAACAAGGTCGACATCCTGGTCCACGCCTCAAAGTACATACAAGACCTCCATAGTCGCACCGATGAGTTGTTCTCCACTCACGCTTCCGAGGCACACAGTACGTGTTTCGATATCCCCACACTGTGTACTTGGGGGGAGAAAAACGTTTCCCCCCTTAAGTCTGTCCAGCAGCCATGTGTCACTTTTTCAGAGGAGGAGTTGACCCGTATGAAGAAACTCGTGACGCAGCTGATGTCTCGCACTCAGTTACTGTCCTCTCTTCTGAAGGAGGCGGGAATTTCTGTGCCAGCTGAGCCAGCCCTTGAGAAGATATCCCCCCTGAAATGGTCGAATAAAATTAATGTCGACGACGTGGACAAGTATTTTGATAAGATCGAGGAAAGTAAGTGCGTCACCCGGGATGCGAATTTGTAATTTAAGAAGTGGCAGCTTAAGGTTTTCTAATTTCCTCGTCGTTTGTAGAGAAAACTTTAGAGAAGAAAAAGAAGGAGAAATCCGCGGAGAATAAAGTGCCTTCCAAGAGAAAATCTGCAACACCATCGGCTCCGAAGAAGCTTTCCGAAGAAGCTGCCGCCGCTAAAAATGTTTGTAATTCGAAGGAGAATCAGGAGAATCGTGTCAACTGTGCCAATAGCAAGAACTATAACTCCGATAGTACAAGTAGCCTAGCTGGAACTGAATCGAAGGAGGCGGAGCGTTGTCAAAATGGTACAAACAAATCCACAGTTATTGCTGTTTGATCAAACGGTAGCGCTTAGAGTCTTCGTTGCTTGTTATCGGCAAAGCAAATTCATATCACTCTTGCGTTTTAATTTAGATTCTGTCAACGAAGCGACCGCGACCGGGACAACCGCTACGAAGAAAAAGACCGGTAAATAGAGCAACGGGCTTTTTTATTTTAATGGCCGTATCGTCTTTGCTAATGCGATTCTCTGTTCTCAGCGGACAAGAAAGTCGAATCTCAAAAGTCGTTGAAGAAGAAGCGTAAGCGCAAGAATGAGAAGAGCTCGACGTTGCCACCTGTGGCCAACACGGTCACCAGTTTGACGCCCAACACCCTCATCCTGTCCGGTGGAAAACTGATGCCCCTCGTAACTCCGATGACGTCGAATATCATCGTGAACACCCAGCAGGCGTCGACGAACCCGATAATCCTCGGCAACACGCAGCAGAGTCAGATGATCGTGATGCAACCCTTGGCGAATCGTGTCCAGAACTCGGTCGTCTCCATATGCAATCACCACGCTCTGATTAACACCGTGCAGAAGGTCACTCTGAACACCGTGCCGAGCATTCGCGCGAATATGGTGGTCGATTCTCACAATTGGGCGTCCAATGTGAAGAATATAATCAACGCCACGAAGATCGGCGGGCACAAGGGTATCCTGCCGAAAGGCAAAGAGATTACAAATACGACTATGGCTTACAAAGTGCCTATACCAGCGATACACAAGGAGAAAGTGGAGAAGCCTAAAGATAGCGCGAGCAAGAAGGAATCGGAGGTAAAAGCAAAGGGTAACAAGAATCATTCCAAGAGTCACAAAAGCGTTCAAAATACGCCGGAGGCGGCTGACGAGTTGAACGTCGAGAAAAAATCGCCGAAGGAACCTGCCAAGGCTCACGAGGACGCGACCGTCCCGCGAAAAGGCGCGCCTAAACGCGGCTTGTCCGCGGAGTCTGATTCTGTGGACGAACCGGAAGAGAAGAAACGGAAAGACACGGACGACGAGGCAAAATCCGTCCAACCGAAACCGACGGATTTCACCGCCACGTGCAAATCTATCGTAAGTCTGAAGCATGTTATAGAAAGAATAGGGGAAAACATCCGAGACGAGCATGCGACTGTCAGCGACGAGAAGGAATCTGCCGCGACGAAATCGAATGACGTAGTTACTCGGGCAGCGAACGATACTGATTGCGAGGAAACGTCCGCGACGAGCAAACTGATGGACATCGTGGACACGAATTGTTTCGATATGAATAAGAAAACGACCGAAGACGTCGTCGTATCGCAGACCAATGCCTCGGATAAGTTTCCTAGCGAGCCGGAGACAGATGCGCCTGATCGGTCGTCTAACGATTTTAACATGTCGATCGACGGCATGGCGGAAAAGAGTGGCGGAAATATGGAGCACTTGGATGCGAAGTCGACCTTAACGGACGTCGAAGTGGCGGAGAAGGCTGTCGGTTCGGATGGACCGAAGAAAACGTGCAATTTGGGCACGCGTTTTGACAGTCTTCTACGCGTGGCGACTGCCAAGGAGCAACAGCGGGTCAACGACGCGATGGGCGGCGCAGAAAGCAACAAGATCATTCTGAATTTGGATACGAACACTACTACAACGATGAAGTCCGATGCGAACATTGTCGATGCTGCTACATCGGCGTCGGCATCGTCCGCCTCGTCGTCCTCATCGTCGTCGCCACTGACAGCTAATGTGGTCAATGAAGAGGCCAAGTTGACGAAGACTTCGAAGGACGAGATGTCGAAATCGTTGCCGTACAGCAGTGAGAACACATTCGTACCGATCAGCAACAGAACGGACGGGCTGCACTCGGACCTGTCCAATGACATATTCGCCTCCCTGCACGTTCCGTCCAATTCGCATAATCCGGAATCGATATCACCCACGGCGGCGTTCCTGATGGCGTTCCCGCTGGTGTCATCCTTGAATGGCAAAACCGAAGTCCTGGACGAGGAGATGAAGGACGACTTCAAGTACCACAGTCAGACTCCGCCGATGCTGTTGCAGATTGGAACCATGGAGCCGAACAGCTTCAAGATCAAGACTTCCTCGCCGTCGCACGCGATCGCGGAGAAGCGGCTGAAAGTCCCCTGCGAGGAGAAGCAAATCGCGTCCGCGAACGCGAACGCCGACATAATCGTCCCCGTGGAATGCACGCCGACGAAGTCGTTGCCGAAGGTGGTGAACGAGGAGACGTTGCGAGAGCCGTACAAGATAGTTCAGACCGTCCTGACGCCGAGCTTGGAGAAATCCGTGATGACCACCAGCGCGTTTCCCTCTCATACCTCAGTCAATTTCTCGGCCGTGGACTCCTCGTGTATCGTAGGCAGTTCCCCGAGTCTGGCGACGAACCAAGGTCGTTCGGGTCAACTGAGGACGACGAGCAGCACCCTGAACAGTGTTAACGCGATCGCGTCTCAAGCGCCGATAAACATTTCCGCGTCTGCTGACAAGAGCGATATCGCGGATTGTACATCGTCCCAAGTGGCAACGAGCCGCAATCCCGACGTGACGTACTCCGGACCGCAGGACTTCTTGCCCAGCTACTCGACGATGGTGGGCAACGGTCTCGGCACGCTGCAACACACGTCCAACTCGTCCATGTTCAAAAGTGCCATCGCGACGACGCAGGAGTCGAATCCGACTGTTGGCCCGCACGTCGACGGCTCTCAGAACTTGTTGAGTACACGTCTCGAGAACGCGACGGTGACCACGAACGCCTCGTCCGCGGCCCTGCGGTCCCTGCAAGCAGACTACTCGACCCAAACGAAGGACAAAGGCTCGCAAGGTTCGTCGCATGCGATCTATCCGTCGCACAACAAGGACGCGCTCATCGATTCTGCCAATATCGTGCCCGCCCACCGTGTCGATTACGCTAGTCAGATGGATCGAGGTCTTCCGGTGACGTCTCAGAGCATGCAGAGCTACTCTGTGCCGACCAAGGAATCGTCCCTTCCGATTCTGCCCCCTCAAGACATGCAACATATATACAGCCAAACCAAGGACAGTCATGTTCTCCTAGATTTGAACAACTCCCAGCAGACGTTCGCCATTCAGAAAAAACAGGAACACATTATCGCGAGCTCCCACAACGATTACGTCGGAAATCAGGCAAAGGCGATGTCGCAGAAGGATACTATATCGTACGCGAGCAGTAACAACGAGGCCGCGAGCGCACCATCGCGAAGTCAAGAGTACGTCACGAAGACTGCGAGTCAGAGTTCCTCCGAAAATACTTTCCAACGAAACTATTCCAAGCTGAGCAAGAGCGCGGACACATTGAATCCGAATCAAGAGGCGAAGCTGAATGATGTGCTCAGCTCTAAGACTCAAGAACAGCAGCAACAGCAGCAGCACAATCACATACGAGATCCGGCTTACGTTCCCGCGAAGAAGTTAGATGTAGATCCGTTCGTCCAGTCGTACCAGTACGACGTGAAGGAAGCGATGAGCAATACGAGCGAACGAACGAACGTTCTGAACGCGAATACCGATAGCAATTACGTCTCGTATTCCAGCAAGGACGACAAGAAAACGAACGCCGTCTCGACCATCGCCATGGCGAACAACAATAAGCCAGCGGCGGTGCAGCAGAGCACCGTTGCACGATACCCGCAACAGACCTCGTCGTTCATCGTCACGTCCAACTACGAGCAGAGCACGATGACGGAGAATCACACCAAGTCCACAACCACTGTCGCTCATAATTCGTCGAACTTTAGCATTATGTCGTGGACGACGTTGTCGCCGGTCAGCGGCGGTGGCAGCAACAATGTAGTGCATTACGATCAGGGGCAGCCACATCCGCACGACAATACCGAGGCGAAGACTATCTGCGAGAATTACAGCTACGTTCCGTTGCACAAGGACAACTCGAGTTTCCCTAATCAGGTGTTGATCGGCGACAGCTATCCGAATAGCTCGGCCATGTCGACCGGGATCGACAAGTCGCGACAGGGGAAGATCGAGTCGCAGAAGCAATCCTTCGTCGACCCCTCGAAGACCAGGAATGACCCGTCGAAGCAGAACCGGATGCAGAGTCAGCCGACCGGCAACGACTACAAGTTCCCCGACGGTGGTAAGAGCAAGAACAAGTACGGCATGGATTCGGACTACATGCAGAACGAATACAGCGCTGCTATGAATCAGCAGCAACAGCATTCCCAGCAGCACGGTCAGAAGAACCATCAAAATCTGCCGTCCAAGCAGGAGAAGGCGGTATACGCGTACGAGCCACAGATTAGCTTCGACCTACCGGAGAGCAACGTGCAGATGAAGTATTCGATCGAGGCTTACACCGGCGTGAATTTCAAGTACGCGGCGGAGAAGTCGCAGCAGCCGAGTCAGCACAAGTATCAGATTCTCACCCAAGGACATATTTCTTTGCACGACAGCAGCAGTTACAGCAGCGATGGGAAGCACAGTCAGCAGCAGCAGCAGCCACCGCAGCAATCGCATAGTAGCAACAATAACAACAGCAAGTCCAAGAGTAATCAGCACCAGCAACACGCGATCAAGGCTCCGGTCAACTGGATGATGACGCCGGAGGTCAAGCACAACGCCAACATCACCGATATTATTCTGCCGCCGATCGGCAAGGAGCTAGACTTCTGCCAAAACAATCTGTTCACGCAGACACCCACGTACAATCAGGGCACGCCGAACCAGTTCTATAACAATTACGACGTGTCCGCTGCCCACAGCTTCCCAAATCTACCGGTTCTGCAAAGTGATCCGAAGAGGCCCGCGGAGACCTTCTATTCCGAGGAGCAGCCGTTTCCGTGGTCTCCGACGAAGAATAGCGTGCACAATAGTGTTGAGCACGCGATCGGCCAGTCGTCGGTCAAGTGTATCGACCAACATATCGTGCCGTCGAGTTTGCAGAGTCTGGTAGGCGATCTCGATCTTGGCGCCAATCTGGAGAAGCAGAACTTCTTGTTCGGCGCTGCAACCTCGTCGTCCAGGATCTCCGCGGAGCAGAGCAAGGATGCGGCCATAAAGGAGAAAGAGACGAATAACGTATCGGGACGGGATCTGCACGCGATATTGAACACCCAGAACACGCAACATCCGGCTTCCACCTTTCTATCCGTGAGTCAGCTGGTGGAGCATGAGAAGGCCGAGAAAAGCCATCAGCAGCAGAATCATCAGCAGCATCAGCATCACCAGCATCACCATCCGCATCAGCATCAGCATTCGCAACAGCAGCATCAGCAGCAGCAGCAACAGCAGCAGCAGCAGCAGCAGACTAGAAAACATCAGAGGAAGAGCAACGCGAGTCCGAGAACGACCAGCAAGCGGCAAATGGACATTCGCAAGTCTACAACGACCAACGACAACAATAATCTGCATCAGCGGCACGAGGAACAAAAATCGTCCGGGCACGTGTTCACAGAACAGGGATACCAGCAGTCCCAGCAGCAGCAGCAGCAACAGCAGCAACAGCAGAAATACCAGCAGAACAATGTGCACTGGAGAAGCAGAAACTGCAAAAGCAACTATACCGCGGAGGCGCTGATTGGCACCAGCATTCATGACACTGGCCAGGATAAGCACGCGTCGATCAAGTTCACGACCAATTATCCCCAGAACAAGTTCCAGAGCGGTTTGTCCGCGGACGCTGCGGTGATGCCCATCAACTACTTCTCTAGCGCGCCACCACCGGACGACGGCACCGCGGCCGGCTACGGTCAAACGGTGGTGAATCAGAACTTCAACACGTACGCGTACTCGTCCAATTCCGCCAACTCTATCTATCCTACCAGCAACTTCATCAGCAGCATCTCCAACACGCCCAACAGCTACATGGCCATGCCACTGCACGATAACGCCGCCGATTACGTGCAGGAGACCAACTTTCTGCTGCCGAACGTGGCCGGGACGAGCAGCTCGTCGAGCGCCAGCACCGCCAACACATCCAGCGCGAACACGATCTCCACTACGGCTGGGAACGCCAGCGGGAACGGGAAGAACCATCAGCACTACGGGAAGCACCCGAACTGCGACAAACGTTCATATTCCACTGCCGCGAAGAAGGGCAAGCGGAAGGCCCTGGAGAACGGCCCCATGCAGAACCTCGAGTTTTCTCTGACCGGCATTAACTCCCCGCTGGAGGACTATCATCACCCGACGACGTTCCTGGGGCCGCCGCCACCGCCGCCGCCACCACCGCCGCCGCCACCGCCGCCGCCGCACGCCAATCCTCTCTACCAGAATCATCCGCAAACGAATGTCTACGCCAAGACTGTCAACGGTCTTCCACCGCCCCCACCGTCGGCCATGGCGAGCGCACAGGGCGTCGCGACGGTGGGAGCCGGTTTCTCCATGAACTCCAACATGGTCCGCGGAGGAATCGTCTCGGGCAATCCGATGGCCATGCCGCATCATCCTTCGGGAACCAGTCTCACCAACTTCAACCTGAGCACGATATTTCCTGAGATGAACGACAAGGTATTTGATCACGTCCAATAAACATTGTATGTACGGTTCGTTCGAGTTTCGTTTCGCTTCAACGAGAACCTTTACCTGTCTCTCAGGTCACCGGATACAAATCCTCGAACGGTATACCACCCGGCCTATCGCAGACGTCGAATCAGCCTGCGACCTACGCGCAACGAAGTAACTATTCGTCGAACTCTCTGTGCCATTTGCCGCAGGTGTGTTTGTAAACGTGTCTATGTAATACCAAATTCCGATTGTGTGAGCCTAGAAATAGCGTGTATATATTGTTTGCAGGTTTCGGAAGGCACGCAATTCATTAATAGCGTCCCACCGCTTCCCGTACCTCCTGCTCCTCCTCCTCCTAACGCCCCATCCCTTTCACACGGAGTAATCCATTATAAAAGCCTATGACGAGGTTTCATAGTTTGTGATACGATCGATCGTCGCTTGTACATATGTAAATACTGTGTATTCTTCGTTAAATTAAAAAACGTTGATACAAATGTGTACATTTGATTTATGTTGTTAATTATTCAAATGTCGAATTATAAAGTGGTTTGTTAAGTTGACGACTCAGTAGAGACTTTGTAACATTAAAAGAAAAATCAATACATTGAATTGAGTTTTCGAATTAAAGTCCTTTTTATGCGACACACGGGATATTTTTTTTGTGCTCAGTCACGTTCTAGCACACTGACTCTCGAACTGTCAAGTTACGCTATCGAATTAATAAGATTTATTAAGGCTCCTGGTCCCTGAGCCGAGAACTCCGCGATGACGGTGGCGACATAGTCGCTAGCAGTTTTTCGTTCGATCGCCACATAGCGAAGTGGATATAGAGAGAGTGTTCTAAAGAGGTTTGGGCACGTTCCTTCAAAAACGCCTTGTAACCCTAATGCGTGGTCTACAATACGTGGAGTAAGCGTGGAGTAAGGAGTAAGGGAGAGCCCTAACTTCTAGCTTTTGGTGTAAGGAAGCTGAAATACGGGCATGATTTTTAAAATAATTGTAACACTGATTGATGGCATTTTGATTCACCGAGAGTAAGCCTAAGAGCTGAAGTAGGAGTGAGAAATAAAATGGATTTATTTCCTTACTCCAGCTTACTCCATGTATTGTAGACCAGCCTTAAGGGGAATCAATAAAATGTACTAATAAGGATTCTTCATTCAGTTGCACAAATAAACTATTGAGAACCTGATTAGGCACAGTCGTATAAAGATTTGAATATTTACATACAGATAACAGAGACGTGTCATTATCACAGTATACATTTAAACGCACATCACTCCAAGTTCGCAAATGGCATTATCGAGTCATCTTATATCTTTGGTAGGAGGCTTGAGTGGTATCTTGCCGATAATAAATTTCTCAGCCAGGAACATACTCTTCTCATCGTCCGTCAACGAACCGTCCACGCTGTAAATGGTATCATCGATGATGGTGCTGGCTGCGGTGGTGCTAAACGGTGATTTTCCAAAGGGAGAAGCGTTGATTTGCTGATTTTGCGCGATGCTTCCGAATGGTGAGCCGCCTTGTTGAACTTGCGGTGCGAATGGGTTTGCGGTCGTTGCCGTAAGAGTCGTGCCAGCCGTCGGACCGAACGGAGAAGTATTGATACCGCCGAATGTCGACGCGGGGAACAGCGAAGCGTTTGGAACAGCCGCGTTGGAGGTTGCAAAGGTAGCGCCTGCGTTTGCAAATATCGAATTGGAAGACGTCTCTGTGGTGCCGAACGTGTTATTCGTGCTTGCGACCACGCCGAATCCCGTACCGGCGAACGGAGCCGAGCTCACGCTCGTGGAATCATATTGCTGCGAGCTGGTAGTGACGAACGGGCTGCTGATCGCGGCAGACGGCGCGCCGAACGACATGGTGTCGGTGTTCTGTGCGCCGAAGACATTCGGGGCAGATACGGTCGTCCCGAAGGTGGCATTATTGCTGGGCGGCTGATTCAGATCGAAAGCCGGCGCCGCGGTAGCGACGGGTGCGCCGAAACCAGGCTGCGTGGTGGCAACGGTGGACGTACCGAAAGCCGGCGCCGTGGTGGCGGCAACTGCACCAAACGTCGGCGCCGCGGTGGCCGTGGATCCGCCGAAGATACTGTTCGTGGATATCGCGGGAGCGCCGAACGTTTGACCGCCGCCGAATAGCGGGCCGCCGGTGGAGTTATTGGCGTAGTTAGGAGCCACCCCGGCGAAGACCGGCGCTCCGCCGAACGCGGGCATCTGCGTTTTCGGCTGAGTGAACATCCCGCTGTTGAAGGAGCCGGACGACGACGTGACGGGGCCAAAGACCGGGTTAGTCTGTAAGCTAGTGGACGCGCCGCTGAATGGGCTGGATGTAGTGGTTGTCGCTCCGCCGAACAGCGAGGTGCTCACCTGCGGTGTTATCCGACTGTTGAACAACGTGGTGGATGCGCTGCCGAGCTGCTGCGTCCCGCCGAACACATTGTTGTTTTGGCTGAAGACGTTCTGTGACGATCCGCCGAAGATCGGATTGTTTTGAGGCGTTCCAAACGTCGGCGGGCTGTTCTGCACGCCGCTGAACGACGTCGATGTGCTCGTCGTTCCGAAAATGGAGCCAGCACCGCTCGTCGCGGTGCCAAACCCGCCGAGATTGTTTCCAAAGGTCGCCGCGCTGCCAAATACGGACGTCGTGTTGTTGTTGGACTTTGCGAATATTGACGATGCGTTGCTCGCCGAGGTGAATCCACCTCCGCCGAATGGATTATTGTTTTGCACGCCGAATGCTGTGGCACCGAATACGTTGTTAGTCGACGCGTTGTTGACTAGGCTCAACTGAGGAGCTGCAAAAGGACAAAGTAGATATTTTCCGGCGGTCCTATTGTTTGGATTCAATTTACCTTTTTGGCCGCTCCCTAAGAGTTTTTTCTAAAACATAATTACATAGTTAAACACAATCGACAGGTTTTCATCTGACTAGAGCAACTATATGGAGAAAGTTATATATATCGTTTGACATACGAGCACTGTGATTGTCTCTCGCGTGGGATTTTTCAGCATCTCCCTTTTGGCCTTCATGTCCTGGCACAGTTGTTGAAAGTGTAGTTTCTAAAAGCAGTATGCAAATATAAGCTTAACATTTGATATATTTACGATACGTGTGCTTTCATGGTTTATCTGGGCAACAGAAATGCCGACAAGATTCTTCTCCCTTTGGATATCCTTTACGGCTCCATGTTGCTCGAATAAGGGCCTGAGAGCCGAAAGACTGTCGTAACTATTTATGACCCCATCGTAAGACGTAAGTTGTGTTGGAAGTCAACGCACAAAGAATTGTCGTATGTCATCTCAATAAATGCGAGGGTTACAACCATGTACATAGTAAATATAGACCGAGCGTCCCATTGAATAAGCTGAAGCTTGTGAAGATAGAGAAAGAAGATTTAAGAAGACTTTCTTTCTCTGTCTTGCACCAATCGTAAAAGAAGAGAAACGTGCCTGCGCCTCCCTTCTCGCCCACCGTCTCGACGGTGAGACAGAGAAAGAAAGTCCTCTTAAGTCTTCTCTGTCTCTTTCTTCACAGGCTTCAGTTTATTCAATGAGACGCTCAGTCTACATTTACTATGTCTATGGAGGCAACAAACATCTACGACAGTCCTTCCGCTCAGGCCCTAAGTCATAGATACACAATCCCACTAACCGCCTGTTCAACCATGCCGTTCTTCTGCGCGTGATATATTTCCCATCGGATCTCCTCTGGGGACACATCCTCCATATCTGGGATATTGGGACGTTCTTTGAGCGGCCCGAAGCACGACAGTAACCACTGTCCGCCACGCTCGGCGAGAAGCACCTCCTTCGCTACCAGGATACTGTTGTATGAATCAAGAAAGGAAGAAGTAAATATCCAAGCTTATACGCACAAACTGGGAGACGCGCGTAAACTTTATGCGATTACTTACACGATATCATCCTCGGTTTTGGTGTTGCCTGTTTGGAAAAGTAAACAACGATGCGTTACTCAATGCCAGTGAAAATGTACGTCGATGTCTTTCTTACCGAAATGATTTATGTGCTCGAACTGGCAGTACTGCCCGTAACGGCAATTGCCTTGCCGATAGTATTTGCAGATAACCATTGTACTTGACACGCGAAGACGCAGAGGCAAGAGAGGACGCACTTACTCCCGCCCTACGCCGCTTTGTTCCCCGCGAAACGCACACCGCACCGCTCTCCTGTTTTAGAAAATACGAGCTTTAGCTTCGTTTCAAGAAACTAGTTTTTTTACGTATAATTTTTGGTACGTTTTGTAACTTACCTTGTTCTCCTCGGGATCTCCGACATTCGCGTGTGTAAGAAACACTTGTGAGCGCCGCTCACAGCTTTTGTGAGAAACTGAGGAACTCCGCAACGAAGTGCCGCAATCAGCTTTGTCGGTAAGACAGTTTTCTGTTCGATATTAAATCACAGAGCTGCTTTCGCGAGAAGAACAAAATGATCCGGATTAAAATGACCCGTGCTATGATTGGCCAAATCTGGAATTTCATTGAATAAAATTTCAATGTGATGCTATGAAATTTCAGATTTGACCAATCATAGCACAACGTCATTTTAATCTGGATCATTTTGATCTTCTCGCGAAAGCAGCCCAGCATTGCAAATACGAGGCATAGGAGTGCTTTTTCTCTCTCGCTCACTCGAATGCAAAAGAGCGATTCGTTTTGCAATGTCGAACGCAACTATTGGAAGGAGAAAGATAAATTCTGAATCAGTTTAACCGCGGTTCGGCTATAAAGAATAAACCTTTTTCAAGTAGGAGGGGAAAAGCAGGAGAAAGATAAAGGTCGGTATTCATAGTCCGTTCTTATGTATTTAATATCATCTTAAGCCCGTATCAGACTACGGATT